ACATGCTCAAGCCATACCACGAACGGACTGAGGAAGTCACCGCAATCTGTGCCCCTGCCACGGAAGATTTTGATAACCTACCCCTACCCGATCTCCTAGACCAAGAGGGCCAGAGCGGAGATCTGGGAGAGGTACAGTTAGGAGAAAGATTAAATACCCAAGAACGGGCCCAGGTACAAAAGTTGCTTCGGGAAAAGAAGGCCACGTTTTCCAATTTACCCGGCTATACCACGTTGGCTACCCATAAGGTAGAAACGTTAGATTCGACCCCCTTGCGCCAACCCCCCTACCGCACTCCAGAAGCAGTCAAGGAGAATATGCGCAAGGAAATTGAGGAGATGATTCAGCTAGGAGTAATAGAGCACTCGGACAGCCCCTGGGCCTGCCCGGTAGTACTGGTGCCGAAACGGGACGGGACGACCCGTTTCTGCGTAGACTACCGACGGCTCAACGATAAAACGACCTCTGACGCATATCCCATGCCCCGAATAGACGAACTCCTCGACAAAATGGCCAGGGGTCAATACCTAACCACTATAGACTTGTGCAAAGGGTACTGGCAGATTCCCTTAGCGGACGACGCCATCCCAAAGTCGGCTTTTGTCACCCCGTTTGGCCTGTATCAGTTTAAGGTCATGCCATTCGGGATGAAAAACGCTCCAGCTACCTTCCAGAGAATGGTGGACAGACTGTTAGATGGGTTCCAGGAGTATGCCTGCGCGTATCTAGATGATATCGCCATATTCAGCCACTCCTGGCACGAACATCTGGTTCACATAGGAGGCATCCTAGACCGAATCCGAGAGGCCGGACTGACCCTAAAACCCAGCAAATGCCATATCGGTATGGCGGAAGTCCAGTATCTGGGACACCGGGTAGGGAGTGGGCAACAGAAACCCGAACCTGCTAAAATAGAGGCAGTCGCCCAATGGCCTACCCCTCGCACCAAGAACCAAGTGCTCGCCTTTTTAGGGACCGCCGGGTACTACCGGAAGTTTGTGGCCAACTATAGCGCCCTCGCCAAACCCCTCACAGACCTGACCCGCAAGAACCTCCCTAAGTTAGTAGTCTGGGCCCCAGAGTGTGAGCAGGCGTTCCAACAGCTCAAGACGGCACTGGTTAATTCTCCTGTACTTTCTGCTCCTGATCCAACTAAACGCTTTCTCGTCCACACAGACGCTTCTATGTTTGGATTGGGAGCAGTACTGAGCCAAGTTGGACCCGATGGCGGCGAGCACCCCGTAGCTTACCTAAGCCGAAAACTTTTACCCAGGGAAGTAAGTGTGGCGAAACCAACCTCGCCACTGTGAACTGGAGAAGCCTGGTTGCTCGCCTGCTCCCTTTGGACTATGGCCCTGCAGGTTAAACCGTTTATTTCCCCTGCAGAAAGGCTTATTTGTGTGATCTGAGTGCCATTCATCTAATAATGTGCACTCAGATCCCAGCTAATCTGGGGATATGTGAACTGTCTGTGTGTTATGTGTAAAGGTGACTTTATGTATTTTAAAGTGTTTTGTGTCTTTTTGCAACCATGTGCTTAATGGAGTCTGTGTCTGTCCTGGGAGATAATTGAATTACTTATCTCCAGGATAGAAGGCTCTGAAACTGGTTTGGGCCAGAAAGCCATGCTTCATTTAGTCACAAAGGACTTTTTTACTAACTTTTGAACCCCTTGTCTGATTTGTGCCATTTTTGAATATGTTGTTCCCCTGAATGGATTGATTGTGAATATGTAATTTTATGTGAATGTGATGTATGGTTTTAGAGTTATGAAAGTTGGGTAGAAAGTATGTTTTAACTGTATATGTAATTGAGTTTCCTCTCAGGATAAGGGGAGGGAATATGTGGGATGTAACTGTGATGTGATTGGTTGTTTTATACCTCCCTGTGGGCGGTCCTGTATTTGCAAGACTGTAATAAAAACCAGGCTGGGTGTGCCAGCACCTGAGTTCTATTTTTACCCTCAACTTGAGTCCTGTCTCTTATTGGGGGAATCTGCTACAAGGGATTGCTATGCTAGGCATATTCCCTTGCTATAATCACTGAGCTCTTGTAAGAGCTTGTTCCTGCTTCGTTCTGAAGGGAGGTAGCTGCAGTCTGCGGTGCTTATGGTGTCTGGTGGAGTGCTTGGAGTCCTCTGGAAGCGCTAGGAGCATCTTTCAACGGAGGTACCCAGTCGGGGTGCCAGGTGATCCGTTACAGTAAGCTACGCCGCCATTGAAAAGGAGTGCCTGGCTGTGGTGTGGGCCCTCAAGAAGTTGCAACCCTACTTATACGGGCAACCCTTCACTTTACTCACGGATCACAACCCGTTGGTGTGGCTGAACAGGGTGTCCGGAGACAATGCCAGGCTGCTGCGCTGGAGTTTGGAGCTGCAGCCTTTTGACTTTACTATCCACTACCGCCCTGGGAAGCAGAATGGCAACGCCGACGGGTTGTCTAGACAAACAGACTTGGAGCCGTGATTCGTGAGTACTCCTCCGGACATCCCCAAGCCGATCCGTTGGGATCAGGCTGTGTATGCCGGCTTGGTTCTGGGGGAGCATTGTGGCAAACCTAGCCACTCGGACTATAACTGGACACTATGCCTTTAAGGGTTGCCTATAGGTCTGGAGAGAGATGCATTGTACCTGTATGTGCCTGCTTCATGTATTCCCTGCATTGCCTGTACCTATCTGTTCCGCCGAATGCAAATGGCGGTTTGTATGGGGATTCCCGTTCGTTTCGCGAACGGCACTTTGGAAGGCCGTTCGTGAAACGAATACGATACCCCCTAATAGCCCACACACTTAGAGGCGTGTGGCGCTAGTTAACCGATTGCAACATTGTTGCAATCGGTTATTAGAGGCTCTCCTGGGTGGCCGTCGTTCGACTACCGACCATGCGGCGGGCGGCCATCTTGGATCCCTGGTTCGTCAGCGGGTCCGTGTCGTCGAACGCATAGCATTCCCAACAGTTATTTGACGGCACGAACACCGTTAAGCCTCCAGGACGTTCGGGAGTTTCAGGACCAGGTTCACTAAAGACAATCGGTTCTTTTCATGTGTTTTGAAAGAAAGGTGTTTTCTGTGCGGCGTTCGGTTATTTTAGCTAGGATCTGAGCGGCAATCTCACGAATGATGCGCCCAGACCCCAGCTATCTACCGAACGTCCATTCGTGTAAATCCACCGTATATTGTACCAGCTGTGGATTTTTGTGTGAATTGCCGGTTCGGCTGCACGAGGGGATAATCCCCTTAACGGTGCATTCTGGGAGGATGATCTCTCTCGTGCAGCGGTGCCTGATGGGAGAAATATGTGGTACTGTAAGTCCCCCATGTAGTCCCCTCCTGTACAACCCCTGTAATGTCTGTTTGGAAACCCCTTGCATGGGGAATTGCATAAATACTGTGACCTGTGATTAAAACCTCAGTTGACTCCCAGCCTATGTGTCGTCTAGTTCTTGGGAAAGGAAGGGTTACTGCAGTGCTGTTTGGATTATTATATGCTGATTCCCTGGATTATCCTTTGTTGTTCCTGTTACCCAGCGGAGATATCGTGGATCATACTGCCTCTCCGCTACATATACAGTGTCACTATCTCCTGCTAATATCCCGGGTTAACACATTGTATACAGTGCCGCTATCTCCTGCTAATATCCCAGGTTAATACATTGTATACAGCGTCACTATCTCC